GCGATTTATAGACGATTGCATCGATTCAAACGCGCGACTTCATCGATTAACACGCCCGATTGCATCGCTACACTTGCTATTTATAGGCGACTTCATCGATACACACTCGCGATTGCATCGATACAAACGCGCGATTGCATCGATCCAATCGCCTATAAATCCTAAGTGTAGCGATGCAATCGCGCGTTTGTATCGATGTATTAGCGCGCTTGCATCACGTTTGCATCGCTGCTTAAAATCGCGGGCATGTAAAGGTAAACGATTAGCGATTGCATTGCATTTGTATAGCTGCTAAAATTCGCCGTGTGTAACCGCTCTTATAGTCAAGCAAAAACTGCGTTATTGACATTTTTCAAAGCGTTAAGCATTGGCATATTTCGAAAGTTACCAAAATGCAAATGCGTTAGGTATGATATGGAGGGCAGAATACTATGTCGGTGATTTACTTCGTAAGTTGACCAACGCTAGCCTTTTCTATATTTGTTACACATAAAAAACATAATTATTATTTCAAGCAATATTTATAACAAACTGTGTCCAAGTAACAAACTCATACACCTAGGATAAAAAAACAAAATTTACGCACTTGTTTATCCTTTCTATTTATTACTTAGTCGGTCCATGTTGTTTGTACGCAATGCGCCTTACACAACTATAAAAGCAAAAACATTTGGCAAACGCTGAACACTTCCATTTTTCTCTGCGCAATCATACTAAATTTAAAAAATGCTTGCAATCAATCTGTTCGCGCGTTATCTTAAGCGAATATGTGCCTACGCAGTTAGAACAATAGAGGAAAACAATATACTACAGTCGAATATTTGCGTTAGAGCCGTTAAAAGCACTTTCTTATTCTTTTGTTCTCTATATTTGTGACTATGACCGATCGTATTGCTGTACAGAGGAAGTAAAAACCATACGTATCATATTATACAATCATAAATCCATAACATATACGCAAATATACATTATTATACTGGATCATATTTATATTAATATAGCTTTATTCAGTTGTGTTTTTTTATTGAAATAAACTAAGTACAGAGTACTAAAAAAACCGACCTCAAAAGTTCGTGGAATTACATCTACTTGTTAATCGATTGTCATCCCCTAGTTTGCCACCCTTAGAGGTGAAATATTTTCTTGAAATTTAAATGGGACCAATCTGAAATACCCTCTCTCCAACAAAAAAAGAATCATCAAGATCGGTTCACAAATTTAACACAAATTATCGTGTAACATACCTACATACAAAAAAAATACAGTCTAATTGAGAACCTATTCCTTTTTTGAAGTCGGTTAAAAAAGGACAAAATAACATTTTAAGTGCACTACCAACGGCTGGTTACGGAAAACAGCTCGCTCTAATGAACTATATCTGTACCGTATTCCAAACACTGATAATGAAAAACCTGTTTTTAAACATATCCATTGTGATATTTTTCCCAGGTGGCACTGGCATTAACGCATGCTGGTGAGGACACACCAAGCGAGGACAAAAATCCCGAACCTGTATCGACACTCCGGTCGAGTCGACAATATGGGAACCACGGTCCTGGAGATCCAAACGAGGTGGTCGTCGACATCGAGGATGACGAGAAGACGCAGTATTATGAAACCAATTACGACACCAGTAAGTGTTTTTATTAACTGACTCCCACTAGTAGTAGAGTTTATCTGTTCAAGTACTTGTTTGTAAATTGTATGTAAGTGTATTTTTTTTTTTTTTGACTTGCCCCCATTATGTTGGTGATTTTTGTCAGCTCTTATTTGTAGAAAAACTCCAAGTAAAATAAATTGACCGCGAACTAACGTCAATATTAAATTCCCAGTTGGAGCATATATATTTATTTGTAATCTTCTGTATTTCAGACGCATACGGTTTCGGCTACGACGTAGGCCCTAATGGCCAATTCCACCACGAGAACCGAGGTCCAGACGGCGTGACATACGGTTGCTACGGTTACGTAGACCCTGACGGCTACCTCCGCGCTACGCACTACGTGGCTGACAGCCATGGATACCGGGTTGTCGAGCCAGAGAAACCGGTTGAGGTCTTCCCGGAAGAGAAACATGAGTATGATGAAAAGTACGTTTTATTTCTTTTTTAGTTGTATGTTACAAGTTACCGTGGAATACAGTGGAATAATTTTATTCATGAGTTAAAATTTTAGTAGCAGTAGAGCTCCTTGTGAACGAGTTCATAAGTACTGCCACCTTACTTATTTTTGCCACCAAGCAGTAAAGTCTGCATTATTTATGAACGGTAAGGGTGCTGGTGAAATTACAGACACGTGAGACTTTTCAACTTATGTCTGAGGATTATGGGCGCAGAGGCAGTGTACCTCAGATCATTGCGATTTAAAGCCCTGAATGGTACTGCAACTTGTATGGACAGGCGTGTCGTTTACCATCAGGCGCATGACTTGTTCGTCCCATCACTTGGCATCATAAAAAAAAATTAAATTAATCAAAAAAATGTAGAATCAAACCTGAGCAAACTTTTAAATTTATTTCGTAACATTCGTTTTATTTCGATAATATACAGATAAGATACAATAAAAGCATAAATACTAGAAAGTTAAACTAGGATTTCTACATTAAATTCATAAAATTGTGGTTGAAGTCGGGCAAAAATAGCTATTTGATGCTCGTCGCGACATCTTATGTATCAATAAGAACTAAATACCCGACTACACTGTCTTGTATCACGATTAGTAGTCCCCTTGAGTGAGTGGTATCTTTAAAGCTCTCTTGAATAGACATCATTTTGCAGTTGTGACTTAATTACATTTGGTGCAAGGTGCGATAAACTGTTATTATGAGATATAATGTATTAATAAGAAATTGTCGACTTGAAACAATCTTATCGTATATTTTTATAGCCATGTTTTTAAGCGATCATTTTAAATTTGGATCAAATAATATTATTCCTTTTTTATATTAAAGAATTGGAATGAGATCAGCATACGGCTACACAGCCAGCCAACCGCAAGCACATTTGATTTTGAGCTCTCTACCTGTAGAAAAACGCTTGCACAGCTAAATCTAAAAAACTATCGACCTAGGTAGCTCGTAGTAATTGAAGAGCTCCTATTCCCGGTTGAACTAATTTAGAAAAAGACAATGAAATTGTTTTTAAGTCGCTTATTTTCTGTGGAGGCTGTAGATTTCATCGCCATATTTTTTGTATTCTAGAGCACTATGTCACAAGGACGAAAACGGGCAATTACGAACAGAGGGGCATTCAAATTTAATTGAACTGCCCGAACATTTGCTATTGCCGTTCTACCCGTGTGCCATACAATGTTCTTCATCACACTTGAGAGAAAGTTGAAGAAAATAAAATAAGACATATAGTTAATTCATATAATATTTATAAATTTTTAAATATCTCACAAAAAAATGTTGCAAAAATTTGTTTTTGAGCATTAGAATTTTTGGTTTTGGCTTTACGTATGAATAAAACGTAAAATCTTATAAATTTACATATCTTATAGTATTTATAAGTATGTATCTTTTAAAAAGTATAAATTAAATAAAACCGATTCTATTTATATTACTTTTCATAAATTAAATCAATATGGGATAGCGATCTACTTCGAGACTCCCGCGCTTCGTACGGGTGGTGGTGGGAGAGTGAAAATAAAATAAAAAACTCATTACCGTACTAGACTCGTAAGGTAAAAACGCCACCTAGTTTTGCCGCACCTTACCTTTACCTTTGAAAAGCTATTACATAGAAATAAAGGTTGCACGCCAAAAAATATTTATCCATTACTTACTCTGACGTGTTTTATGTTAACAGCTCAATAAACCAACCGACAGAAGCGACACCCGGTCAAGTAATCCCATGGGCGAAACTGTACTTCCCTAAGGGTTGTGGTAGGACCCCAGGTGGAACCCCTCCCAAACCACGTCCTCCAGCACCGCCACGACCGCCGAAGCCCCCTCCGGACAGTTCTGGTCAAACCAGCAATCCTAGTCCGGGTGTTGTGCCTCCTGGAGGTAATATTACAGGATAATACTTCAATATGAAACGTCATAGACTTACTTGGTACTTGGTACTTGGTGTAACGGGCTGGTGTCTGCAACTCGACGTCAAGGCGCCTATTTTGCGTGTGGACGTCATGGACTTATAGACTAGAGAAAAATTAGTACAACAATACTTCTATTACAAAACAATATTAAACCTCATATTCTACCACAATACTACGTACTTGGTACTTGGTACTTGGTGCAACAGGCTGGTATCCGCAACTCGACGACAAAGCGCCTATTTTTACTACGTACATAGATTTAGTATATAGGTACCCAAAATCTATGACTGCGTATAACTTATTTAGTAATTGCAATTACTTTATGCTATTAGATTTCTTTGCTATTAATATTCTTTACTGAATATGCAGACCATATCAAACTGTATTTTCATTCCAGGTTACTACCCTGGTACACCAGGCACTCCTGGTACTCCTGGTACACCTGGTTCGCCTGGAAGTCCAGGAACCCCCGGTTCACCAGGTACACCCGGTGGTCCCGGCGGTCCCGGCGGGCCCGGTGGCCCAGCAGGTCCTGGAGGATATTACCCAGGACAACCAGGAACTCCAGGATCTCCGGGTTCTCCAGGTTCACCAGGTGGCCCGGGTATGCATTTTTTTTTCAGCCATATGACATAATGCATACCAGAACCTATATTAGAAAAACATATTTACAATTTCTTTGCTTTCAATTTTGGTTACTAATAGATACTTGTCTTTACTTTTACTTTTACTTTAGGTTTTAACAAAAATGGAAAACACATTGTCAATGAACATTTTATTATATAATATTATATTATATATATTCTTTTTATATTCTTTTATTCTATTACATTTCAAATGATCACACAAAATCTCGTGACATGAATTCATTGTTTTATTGTACTTTTTGGTGGTGTAGGTTAAACAACAGTGAGAATTGTTTCATTTTGTAATCTGTCGTTTATTCTACATCTGCGTCTGTCGATCATTTCTAATAAATTGAGTCGATCATGACCCATGTCGTAATGCGTAATGTGACAGGGTCAAAAGATTCGTCGATATTTTGGATCCTTTAGTGGGTCATTCGTCGATCACGATACTTCCATATGGAGTTTAAAAGTGTCAAATACAATTAGCTTTTATTCTTTCCTGCTTATAGGCAATGTGTATAAAGTTAAATGCATCACTGATAAACTACACTTAGGACACTAAAATTTATTTCTAGGAAAAGTAACTCCTACAAAACAAAACTTCATAACAAAAAACTTATGAACATTCCAAATTACTAATATATTGATTAATTTTATTATAAATTTATTCATATTAGCTAGCGCACTCATAAATAATCACAACATAATAAAAACAGATTAAACTTACAAAATTACCATGTAATGGACACTAAGCGAAGGAGCAATTAGAATGAACCATTGAGACTCTCATTGATCCATTGACCCGTTGACCCGTTGATCGATCGCTTGACTTTTTGGTTTGATCGAACGAAGGTTCTGTCGAACGAATGCTCTATTGTACAAATGTTCGACGAACAGAGACGCGAGAGTGTGAACGAGACAATAATAATATTGTCATAATTATTAATACAAAGATCGAACACTCAGAAAAAATCCTTCGTTCGTTCGGATTCGAAACAACGTCTTCTAGCATACCATGGCAGACGCTATACCAACTAATCCACGGAACGAACCAGCGGACCTCACGAATTTGAACTTGAATTTGAACCAAACTAGTGGAGTAATTTCACATGAAACAATTTAATATCAATTCAATACAAATTTAAAAATAATATTGTCAGTTCCAGACTGAGTGCTATGTGAATTGTTGAATAATCTCTAATATTATAGTAATGTAGTCGGATACTGCGCGCATGACTCATGAATCTCAAAAATGATCGGGTTACTTAGAAACTCGTAACCCGGGTCATTGGGTGACAGGTGCTGTACGAATCAATTTGGTTCTATCGAACGCAATTGACACACGTCTACTTTATTTGAGCTCGGGATCAAACTATGTGAGCCTTGATTTATGCCTTGACTTATGATCTCTATTATGATATTATCTCAAACATTTGCGAAAATGGTCCCTAAACTTTTTTCGTTCTTTTTGATAATTTGTTCTAAAATTTACTAGTAAAATGAAAACGATTGTTGTTGTCAGGCGACAACAGTAAAAGTTTCATCACAAAAACTATAACTCCTAAGGTCTGGAATCATGAATTTTTGGGATTTATTAATGTAATTCCCCAGCAAACACAAGCAGAATAAAAAGGTTATCATTATACAAGTAAAGTTTAGATCAAACTATCAAAGACGAGGAAAAATCTTTAGATGCTATTTTCGCAAAACTATGATCATGTTGGTAGACGTTATTGCTTATCCGCACCCGCAACTGAATTGTTTTCATCAGTTTGTATATGCGGCTGAGTGACAAGTGATTAATTATTCACTTATTATCAAATTAAAAGAATACTAGTAACATCCCTTCAAGTGATAAAAAACAAACAAAAACAATTACAGTCACTGCATAATTGCAATACTTTATAGGTGGTCCTGGTGGCCCAGGTGGCCCTGGCGGCCCAGGAGGCCCTAGTGGCTCAGGCGGTTCAGGCGGTGGGTACTATCCTGGTCAACCTGGCAGTCCAGGCTCACCTGGCTCCCCAGGTGGTCCAGGCACCCCTGGTTCCCCCGGTACTCCAGGAACTTCTGGTACCCCGGGAACTCCCGGTACACCAGGCTCAGGTGGTGGATATTACCCTGGTGGACCTAACGGGCCAAGTAAGTGTGCACACAGTTATTTTAGCAGTGCAAACTACAATTATTTCAGCTTATTTTTTAATGTACATTTATATGGTTCACATAAACATAGAATAGGGAATTAAAAATACAGAACTTTGTTTTTTGCATAATATTACTCATTAAATAAGAAGTAGACGAGCCAGTTAAAAAACTTAATGAAATTTGTGCTCTTTCACAAATCACACATTTTCTACCGCGGTTAGTTTTAAAAACTCAACGCTATGATAAAATATGTTATATAAACTATCAAAATCATCTTTTAATATCTATTATTAGGTGGACCAGGAGGCCCAAGCGGCCCAGGAGGTTATCCAGGCCAACCAGGCACTCCCGGCAGTCCAGGTACCCCAGGTTCTCCAGGTGGTCCAGGTGTGTTAAATTGAAATATGACAATGGAACAAATACAAATAAACACTTTATACAGTCGTGAGAATTGCGATATCGATCCTTTGAGTTCGAGACAAAAAATATTTTTCTAATGGAAATTAAGCTGCTCAACAGACATCCCAAATGGGTTAACCAAAACAATAAAAAACATACAAAAATTGTTCACTCACTAATTTCAAAGGTAAAATTACTAAATGGTTGACAAATGCTCATCAATGTCAATCGTACCGCTGTATAAGCTTCTAATGCGAATAAACGGTAACGGTAGCAACGTAACTAAAATTTTTACCAACTAGGACCGATGAGACATAAAAAATATAAGTACAGGTACAGGACGTATGTTATAAGCATCTACCGACGTGTATAGTGCACTTGCAAATAAATATTTTTATTTCATTTCAAATATATACTTAAACGTTTAGGCCGCGTGCCTAAATATAACGACTACCTAGTATACCTACACATTTCAATATTTTGAAGGTGGTCCAGGAGGTCCAGGTGGGCCTGGTGGCCCTGGTGGCCCAGGTGGTCCTAGCGGTCCAGGCGGCTCAGGAGGCAGCTACTATCCTGGTCAACCTGGCAGTCCTGCCTCACCCGCCTCCCCTGGTAGGACATTCTATTTTTTATATTTTTGGTTCTAGTAACAATGTACAATAAAATTATTTATCAAGTTTAAAATAAAACATTCATCTACTAATTAAAGATTCCTAGTATCATCAGCTCGAAAACAACCAAACCTGAACATAAAAATCTCCACAATTTAAAATGTAGTTTTTTTCACCAAAATTTGTAAAATTAAATGCTAATCTTGTATTTACAGGTGGTCCAGGCAGTCAAGGCGGACCAGGCGGCCCAGCTGGATCTGGCACGTACTATCCCGGTCAACCTGGAAAACCAGGCTCACCTGGTAGTCCCGGAACACCTGGTACTCCCGGTACACCTGGAGGTCCAGGTAATTTGCAAATATTTTGTACGGTGAACGAAACAAAAAATTATACAAAACTTGTTCACTCAGTAATTTCAAAAACAAATTTACTAAATGTTTGAGAAATGCTATCGTATCGCTGTGTAATAGCCTTCTAATGCGAATAAACGGTTTTTAGCAACGTAACTAAAATGTTTACCAACATTGACCAATTGGACATATGAAAAATTTATTTTTATTATTGACGTTTGTTATAAACGTCTATTCTGTATCTTATACCGTGTTCTTGCAAATAAATATTTTTTATTTCCTTTCCAAGATACATTTAAACGTTTAAACCACGTACCTAAATATAACCACTACCTAGTATACTTATGCATTTCAATATTTTGAAGGTGGTCCAGGAGGTCCAGGTGGACCTGGCGGCCCTAGTGGTCCAAGCGGCTCAGGAGGCGGCTACTATCCTGGTCAACCCAGCACCCCTGGTACACCCGGCGGACCTGGTAAGTCATTCTACTTTTTATGTTCTTGATTCTGATCACAATGTACAATGAAATTATTTATCAAGTTTAAAATAAAACATTCATCTACTAATTAAAGATTCCTAGGATTATCAGCTCGAAGACGACCTGACCTGAACATAAAATCTCCACAATTTAAAATATAGTTTTTTTTCACTAAAATATGCAAGATTAAATGTTAATCTTGTGTTAACAGGTGGTCCAGGCGGACCAGGTGGCCCAGCTGGATCTGGCACGTACTATCCCGGCCAACCTGGAAAACCAGGTTCACCTGGTAGTCCCGGAACACCTGGTACTCCCGGTACACCTGGAGGTCCAGGTAATTTGCAAATATTTTGTACGGTTTTCATATTACTTGTGGATAAAATCCATAAACATGTTCTACAAATATAAATTGAATAGCAAATAAACAAATAAAAAGAGGAGGCTGTTTAATTTACGTGATATTTTGCACCGTAAATACTTTACTTTTGTATTCTTATTTGTTTTTATCTTTTAAATTGAATTTTTTCGAAGAGCATTCATTTGCTTAAGTGAAAAACTAAATATTTGTTATCAGGAGGCCCAGGAGGTCCCGGCGGCCCCGGACGTCCACCATCCGGAGGTTACTACCCTAGTCAACCCGGTCAACCTGTCACGCCCGGCTTACCTGGTACACCAGTCTCACCTGGTACGCCAGGCTCACCTGGTACGCCAGGCTCACCTGGTACGCCAGGCTCACCTGGTACGCCAGGCTCACCTGGTACGCCAGGCTCACCTGGTACGCCAGGCTCACCCGGTACACCCGGAACCTCCGGCGGCTCAGGTAATTTTTTAATACCGATATGTATAAAACGGTGAAAATGCGAAACTTAAGTTAACATTTACAGACGACTAAGACACTTACGGTCCTAGGTGACAACCGGAGCGCAGTAAGAGATGTCTCAAATAGTCAAATACAAAATACTATTAACTCTCCCCACCCGCCATTATTAATTGATTGAAATATAATTTCAATCGGAAATTCGAATTTCGAGATTAATTATAACAATATTCTAATGAGATAACAAGCATACGTAAGTGTGATCGAATTTTTGCAACAACAACAACATTGTATTTTAATTTATAAGGCTTGAAGCAAACTTGAATAATTAGTTAAATATGTTCATTCATTCCATTCTATAATTATTTCAACTTACCTATGATCATCTACTTCATCGTCATCAGTCGTCATTAAGGGAAACCCCTATTCATTATTTTGTCTCATTACAAAATTAAACTGAATTTAAACTACACTTGTAGAATTGATATTTACACACTAAACCAAATTAGGTTCCACAAGTGCAGTCAACTGGACTTAACTAAAGGTAGCTAAGCTTAAGGGTAACCCCTTAGACATGGAAATAGCATAAAGTCTAATTTATATAAACCATAATAAAGAGAGAAACGCCTTTGTTCATACTTTAGCGATAATTGTATCGTGCAGAGTGCTTTTGTGTTTTCACTATATAATTGGGAATCTTGTATCAGAGGTATGGCGTAGTGGTTTAGGTATTTTTATGAATTGTCAAATTATTATTTAGGGGAACAAGGACAGCCGGGATACCCCGGACAACCCGGTCAACCAGGAACTCCGGGACAGACTGGTTACCCAGGACAACCGGGACAACCTGGCTACCCAGGACAACCAGGAACTCCAGGAGGCCCTGGCCAGCCCGGATATCCAGGACAGCCTGGCCAACCAGGAACACCAGGTAGCTCTGGACAACCCGGATACCCAGGTCAGCCCGGACAACCAGGATACCCCGGACAACAAGGACAGCCTGGTCTACCAGGAACACCAGGTAGCGCAGGACAGCCCGGATACCCAGGGCAGCCTGGACAACCAGGCCAACCAGGATACCCCGGACAACCAGGACAGCCTGGACAACCAGGGCAAGCTGGTTACCCAGGTCTGCCCGGAAGCTCAGGACAACCTGGACACCCAGGACAGCCAGGATACCCAGGACAGCCCGGACAACCAGGTTACCCTGGTCAACCAGGACAGCCTGGACAACCAGGAACTCCAGGACAACCCGGATATCCAGGTCAACCAGGTCAGCCAGGTTACCCAGGACAGCCTGGATACCCAGGACAGCCAGGATACCCAGGACAGCCCGGACAACCAGGATACCCCGGTCAACCAGGACATCCTGGACAACCAGGAACTCCAGGACAACCCGGATATCCAGGCCAACCAGGTCAACCAGGTTACCCAGGACAGCCTGGACAACCAGGACAACCTGGCTACCCAGCGCAGCCTGGACAACCAGGAACACCAGGGCAACCAGGATCCCCAGGAAAGCCAGGTAGCCCAGGACAAACTGTACAACCAGGTCAGCCAGGATACCCCGGACAACCATCATTGCCTGGACAAACGGGGATACCAGGACAACCCGGTTACCCTGGCCAGCCAGGTCAACCAGGTCAACCCGGACAACCAGGACAATCCGGACAACCAGGTCAGCCAGGAAACCCAGGACAACCTGGATACCCAGGACAGCCAGGACATCCAGGACAACCAGGGTACCCCGGACAACCAGGATACCCCGGACAACCAGGATACCCCGGACAACCAGGATACCCCGGACAACCAGGACAACCCGGGCAACCAGGAACTCCAGGACAACCGGGATATCCAGGCCAGCCTGGTCAGCCAGGTTACCCAGGACAGCCTGGACAACCAGGACAACCTGGCTACCCAGGACAGCCAGGAACTCCAGGGTACCCCGGTCAGCCTGGACAACCAGGAACACCAGGACAACCTGGCTACCCAGGATACCCAGGACAACCTGGAACCCCAGGACAGCCAGGATACCCAGGACAGCCTGGCCAACCCGGCCAGCCGGGATACCCAGGACAGCCAGGTAAATAAATTACCAATGTACGACTTAGTATTTTATTTTGTATCTTGAATAACTAATCATTTTATTTATGTAGAGTGTAAGTATTAATTTCAATGTAAGTGCATTTTACTACTTTATGTTTCGTTTATGTTTAAGTATATAAAATGTACACACGCCAGCACGTCAAAGTACACATTGACGTATCTTGTTCCGTTACAATGGAGGCGATTTTCGAACAAAAATGTGTAGTCTGATGTGCCCGTACAATAAACATTGATAAATATGAAAATTAAGCAAATTTCTTCTTCAGACGCGTAGACAGACAGTATCACAATTACTGCCTATTGACTTTGTGCTCTTCATCATATCAGCTGGAGGACGTCCACTGCTGAACATAGGCCGCCCCAAAGATTGCCAGACTAACCGGTCGGACTCGTCGAGCATCCATCGGTTACCCGCCGCCCTTAGCAGGTCATCCGTCCATCTAGTAGGGGCCGTCCTACTGAACGTCTTCTGGTTCATGGTCTCCATTTAAGAACCGTTCCGCCCCAAAAGGCGTCAATTTTACGAGCTATGTGCCCTGCCTACTGCCACTTCAACTTGCAAATCCTTTGAGCTATGTCGGTGACTTTCGTTCTTCTACGGATCTCCTAATTTCTGATTTTTTTTTTTTTTTCAATTCAATTCAATTTATTTATTTCAGACATTCAATCCATAATATGTGTTAGTAGAAGTACTTAAAAAAAACTAGTGTTAGACTTTACCTACGCTAGTTTACAAAGTTAAATTAATCAATTATATAAATCAAAATAAAACATATAAAACATATAAAATATAAATTAAAAAGCTTTTCAATATTATAAATTTAAGTTATAAAAAATTAATATCAGTATCATACATAAATTAACATCAAAAATATAAAAACCAAATTAATTAAATTCAAATTGTTACCTAATAATATATATATAGCATGCAATTTATATAAACCTATAGGTCGGCCTGGAACCGGAATGCTCAATGTGTATTTTCGTCCAGTGCCGCATTATTGGACAGTCCAGATCCATTCTCGACGCGAAAAGCTTCAAGTATGTATTGGAGCTGCCCCGCACCCGCCGCATCAGGGACGCGACTCGCTTGCGAATTATTGCCGAAAAGCAGTCTATCTGTGCGTCCGCGAACATCCCTGACGCGCTGCAATACGGTGGCAGACCCATCAAAGCCCTGAACGCATTATTGTATTGGGTGCGCAGGGCAGTGTAGGACTTCTTCGTATATTTGGCCCATAGGCCGCACGTGTAAAACGACTGACAATACGCTCTGAATAGTGTAGCCTTAACTTGTTCAGTACACCGTGCAAACCTACGAACCAGCATATTTGCGCGAACTGACAGAGCCCTGCGCTCCCTCTCTATATCCAAACCATCATCTAGCGTCTCGGTAACCCAATGTCCCAAATACTTAAAACTAGTAACTTGCGAAAGCACACTACCATTCAAATATACTGGTGGGACGCGGGTGTATGTCTTTAGGCCCGCTTTAAATAACATAAACTTGCTTTTAGTGGCATTATACTTAAGTCCATGTGCCAACGCATAACACTCACAAATCGCCAGTAACTTTCTGAGGGCGCTGATCGATGGGCTCAGCAATACCATGTCGTCCGCGTAACTGATGTTGTTTACAAACACACCATCAACCGAGCAGCCGACACGAGCATCACCGAGCCCACAAATCAAGCGGTTTATGTACAGGCTGAAAAGGGTCGGAGAAGTCAGCCCGCCTTGCCTTACGCCACATTCCAGCCCGTACACATCCGATAGTGACCCTGACCATTTCACAACATTGCTCTGATTACCGTACCAGTATTTCAGTAGGGATCCGAGCTCAGGAGGCAGGTCAGTATCACTCGCTAACTTCTGCCACAGCCTGTCATACACCACCAAATCAAAAGCCTTAGATAAGTCTAGAAAACAGGCGTAGACAGGCGTGTTTCTATCCGTGTAGTACTGAACGGTGTGTTTAAGATTCAATATGGCCGCTTCAGTCGAAAGCCCAGTTCTAAAACCGAACTGAGCATCATTTAACTTTAGATTCTGTCGCAATTGAATGTCAATCACACCGTCCAGCACCTTGGCTATTATAGTTGCAAGTGATATTGGCCTATAATTGCTTATACTAGACAAATCCCCAGTCTTATTCTTAATTATGGGAACAACCACAGTTTTCATCATATCTTGTGGCAGATATGAGTGGCTAACGCAAAAAGAGTATAGCATGGCGAGCACCCTCGATAAGTGAACGCCCGCGTGCTGTAGGTGCTCTACGCTGAGCGCGTCATGACCGGGGGATTTCCCTCGCTTCATGTCCCTCACCACTCTCTTAACCTCCTTAGCCGTGACGCGCCTAATAGGTTCTCCAATGTTTTTCTCACTCAACTCCATTGTAACCTTGGCAGGACTTAACGTAGAGCATATTTTAAAATGTTTCCTGAACTGGTTGGCGATCTGGACAGGATCACTAATGCCCTCTACACTCACAGGGACACTCCGCTTCGGATTCAACTTGTTGGTTTCTTTCCAAAATTTACTGAAATCTTTGGCCATATGCCGAGTCGCTAAAATATCCATTTTAATCTGGTTCTCATTGTCCTTACACCATTTAAGCTTACTTTTGAATATTTTACGTGAGTTTCGCATTAATTCATATATATGTCCTGACGTGGGCCTGCCGTGAGCTACCCAATCCTGAAACCGAAGCCGAGCTTCCCCATGTACTAGTTTAACATGCTTATTCCAACCTGTTACATATAACTTTTTCTTTTTAACGTTTTTATAAATACTATTATTATTACTTAAGGCTGCGGCATTTCTTAAAGTTTCTACTATTTTGTTATAAATGTTATCAATTATTTGTCTATGCTCTAAATTATTACAAATTACGTCAGAACAATTTCTAAACTCAGCAGGAAAATCAATATCACGCAAGCCAGCTGCACATATCTGCCCATATTGATTTATCTGCTCAGCATTTCTTTCTCCCCATATAGCACTATCCGGCACAAAGTCTTTTTGTATTGTCTTCGGCACTAAAATATTTATATCTGATATTAATTCTACTGCAAAGTGGTCCGAATTAGATACCTCATACCGTATCTTAACGTCTAGAATAGTTTTTTTTGCAAGTTCAGTAGTAACTATGTGATCTAGCCACGATGTGGTGCCATGCGCGCCACTAATGTAAGTGAACGAGTTGGAATGGATGCCTAAACATTCAATATCTGCGCATGTCCAGTTTTGTTCCTCACAAAAATTTTTAAACTCTGTGCCAAACAATGAGCCAGGGTGAGAATTAAAATCCCCTAACATATATACAGATTCCACGTTACAAGATTCAATTATAGCATTTACTTCTCCTAAACAGTCTATAAAAGATTCTAAATTGTCCTCGTCGTTCGTTGGCATGTATACTGACATTACGACGAACTCACGGTGGTCCATCTTTACTTTTATCGCCGCTATTCGTACACTGTTACAATCAATTCATTTGATCACGTAGAGAAATTTTTAGAACATTGCTCGCTCCTTAGCTCGTTGAGTGAGTTTGAGCTTTTTATGAGGCCCATAGTAAGTAACCACGTCTCGGAGCCGTAGGTTATCGCTCGCAACATGCATTGTCGAAGAATTTTGTCTTTGCCAAGGACTGCGGTGTTGCGGACGAGAAGACGTCCCGGAGCTTCCCAAAAGCTGCCCAACCGAATCGGGTTCCACGATTGACCTCTTCCTGGCAGTTGTCTCTGCCTAATTGGACGGTTTATCCGAGGTGGATATACTCGTCAACAACTTCGAGAGTAGAGGTTCCCATTGTTATAGGGGTGGGTACAACATTCGACATAAGTTTCGTCTTGTCCATATTCATTTTTGGACCCACCTGCTGGGAATCTCTATTGAGGTCACCGAGCATGATGCCAAGCTCTTCCAACTATTCCGCAATACCATGATGTCGTCAGCAAATCGAAAGTGAGTGATGTACTCGCCATTGATGTTCATGCCGAAACCTTTCCAGTACAGTAACTTGGAGTCTTCTTCCAATGCAGTGGTGAACAGTTTCCGAGAAATGAAGTCTCCCTGTCGCACCCCTCTGTGCAATCGAGCCTTGTGCACTGGTCCTGGAGTCGAACTGACATAGTGGCGTTTCTATGCAAACTTTTCAACACTTCGATATACCGATAGTCAATGTGGCACCGTTGTAGAGAATGTAGCAAATTCAACCCAAATCTCGATTGAATCAAAGGCTTCCTCATAGTCCACAAACTCTAAGCATAATGGCAGGTTATACTCCTAGGTCTTCTATATAACTTGCTGCAGCATGTGGATGTGGTCTATGGTACTTCTGCCCTTTTGAAAACCGGCTTTTTTGGGGGAACTCGGGGGTCGTCGAATCTGCTTATAAACGTGGCTTAGAAGAGAGATGAGCCCTGTAATTCTTCAGTAGTGTGTAATCTCCCTTTTCGAAGAAGAGTATCACCACGCTTCTATTCCACGCTTCTGGCGTAGAACCTTCGAGCAAGACTAACTTAAAGAGCTTCTGAAGGACTCTAAGTACCGGTGTTCCACCCGCTTTCAGAAGCTCAGATGTAATTCCGTCTTCACCAGGTGCTTTGTTGTCTTTTAGCTGTTTCAGAACGCTACCATTCTCCGTCTTCAGCTTTGTAAGCTGACTTTGCCCAATAGACGTGTCCCTTGCAAACAATTTGGAGCCCTTGTTCCGCTCTATGGTATCATTAATATTGTTGGTATTAAAGACCTATGTGTCATGTCGCATATGTATCTATTGAGCAGTCTGTGGGCTTAGCATCCTCACAGGACTGCAGCGTCATAGCGCGTTGATTTGCCATTAGTTTGAGAGTATGATCGGAGAGTTTCTGCAGCCTATCCTTGCGGCGGGTCCAAAAGAATTTTGACCCAACCATATGCATAGTTTCTTCGAATCTGTTGCTAATCTTATCTACAGAGACGCAGGCCCGTAAGCAATTCAAACGATTTTGAAGTTCGAGCCGAAACTTTTTTTATACGGGCACCGCTGGGTCGCAGAGAAACTTCATCAGTCGGGATCTCTCGCGTTTGACGTGGATATTCAACAAGCCTCTTACCACCCTGTGATCACTTCCAGTTTTCACCCTATTGATCACCGAAACATTGTTAAATATCTGTCTCTTGTCGGTCAATATGAAGTCTATATCATTCTTTGTGACACCACCAGGTCCATTTTCTTGAGGCGGCTTTTGGAAGAAGGAGTTCATCATAAAAATCCCTCCTTTTGCATAAAGTCAGCCAGCCTTTGACCCCTGGAATTTCGCTGCCCATAACCAAATTTCCCCACTCTCGGCTCATCATTCCTTCGACTGCCTAATTTGGCTTGGCAATCCCCCATGAGAACATTGAAGTGTGTTTGGAAGGTATGTATGTCTCGACTTATGTCCTCATACATAGCCTCAACTTCCTCATATGGGTGTGTGGAGGTCGGTGCGTAGACCTGTATAACCTTCAACGAGTAGCGCGTGGGTACTCTGAGTATACGGTGTGCAACCCTGCTCGACACACTACCGATGGATGTAATGTTGCCAAGGAGGGATTTGTGGAAGATAAACCCTACCACACTGGGTCTGCTGTTCACCTTCACTAAAGTAGAACTTGTGCTCTTACTGACTAACATTTATGTCAAGCAATCTCCCCCAGCGATCTAATTAAAAGTTATTATTGATCTAGTAATTGTATAAATCTGAAGCACATTGTACAACATTGTTAAAGCTTTGTTATGCATGTTAAATATTTTATAACAAGATATACATACTCCTACTAATCGTATAAAGTAGTTAGTTTACATTTTTATTATTTAGCTTAAGAACAACACGAAATTATATTTTTATCGTTTAAGTATTTGTCCAATTGTAAATCCTACATGTTGTAAAATATAATGTAAATATTATGTATGTTACTTGGTTTCTAAATGTCTGTAATTATTACGCATTAAGTACTCATATACCACTACCATTCCATTTCATATAAATTTGTAGGTAAACCTATTTTTATTAGTAAATTATTACGGAATATCTAACGCTTATTAACAGAGAACAAAAAAGTAACGAGAATGGACACTCTCCGTTCCTCCCTAGCTTTAAATACCGTACCACACCCCGCACTTTGACGGTCACATTGACTGAACGACAACAAGGCTGTCGACGAGCCGTTTTCACGCTAAGACGGCTTTGGTATTTGAATATAGTTTTCATTTACTTATTACGAAAGTTGTACGTTAATATATAACATCATTGTACATTACTATTTATAATCGGTCGGTCATGAATTGGATAAAGAGAGGAGTTTCTTTCGTGTTCCGGAAGATGAAACGAAATAAGTAAAACACTCATTCGGTTATTGTTTTCTACATTTATTTAGTGCAGAGTAATATATAATACAGATTTATTATATCAATATAATAAACGCCATAAGTTCGTGACCTAGTAGACAAAAATTCTCGAATTTTCAATATGTATTTCCGATAAATATTGTGTAGTGTATATGCCTAATTATTAACTAGGGAACCTTGGACACGCAATTTAAATACCTTGGTTACCTAAAATACCCGTCCAAAATATAACATTTTAAGTGCTTTTAATATATTTTTTAAATAAATCTCCAATGTTATTATAGTTAGTCAATTAATGAAAAATATATTATTATATTGATTTAAATATCTAATGAATATTAGTAGAACTATAGATAACAGATTTGCGTTAGAATGTTCGCTATGTTGCCGCTCTGACCACGTAAGGTTATAGTACGAGAAAGTGGTGGGTAACCCTGCCCCTTCACGCACACATTTGCACGTGTGTAGGTAGCACCTTGCTGCATGTAGTAGTAGAAGGTAAATAAGTACGACTGTTGTATGGAGTGTCTGGAGTGTGCTTAATATATAAAGTACATAGTCAATAATACATAGCAATCTGCGTAAAAATTACATTATGTTATACGATTTATTCACAAGTAAATAAAAATACCTAGTAAATAAATAACACACTATTAAATTTAAGTTACTCCATTTGGTGTCTTCAAAATTTTTGTGCTAAAGCAACTTGTCACAGTCCATTTTTGTTTAAAGTTTTCTCTTTAAAGGTGGCATTGAGTCATAACTAGGTTATCTTTTTCAGTTTCTTACTTTGATATTAAAATTACAAATTCCAATTATTTATACTTTAAGGTCAACCTGGTGGTCCGGGACAACCTGGACAACCAGGTCAGCCAGGAGTTCCAGGACAGCCAGGATTCCCAGGACAGCCTGGCATACCAGGACAACCCGGTCAGCCCGGACAACCTGGATTCCCAGGACAACCCGGTACGTTATAGACATAAACATACTTTTATTGGCACAATATAATAATAACACAAACCCACACCAAAATCAGTTTACATACAAATCATTATTTGACATAACATACACACATCAAAAAAAGTTTGCGATCAATAGCATAAGCTCCTATAATTCTTTAAATTTAACTTTATCAAGAAAAAATCTATGTTGTATGCTTTCTTTAAATAGGAATACCCTGTTTGAAATTAAAATATAAAACTATTTTTTTTTATTTATTTTAAAAAATTGAGCCATTGATCATAATGTAAAAGTGATAGAAATTTCATAGAAAGAAAAAGACTGTTTAATTAAACTTAAACAACAATTTATTATTAAAAGGTGTGAATTCAATATAAAATAACTCCTCCCCTGGCTCGAATACATGCGAAGATCCTCCTGGGCATGCTGAGGATCAAGTTATCCAGCATTTCCTGGGGTAACCTATCCCATTCTTCAATAGCGGCTTCCCTGAGCTCTGGAACTGTCTGGGGACGTGGCTCACGGTTCCATACTGCTCGTTTAAGAGCATCCCACGCGTGCTCTATTGGGTTTAAGTCGGGCGAGCCGGCAGGCCAGTCTAATCGTGTGATATCGTATTCTTGAAGAGCAGCATTGACTCGTTGAGCTCGATGTGCGGGCGCATTATCATCAACCAGTACAAATTGGTGCCCATGGTTTACTCGGAATGGTCTGACGATATCATCAATAGCAACTGCTTTGTACATGTCTGCTGTCATGAAGCCCCGATACGGGATCAAAGGCGTTCTAGCTCCAATCATAATGCCACCCCAAAAGAACACCGATTTTCCGCCTTGCTGAACTGTTCCAGTGGCAGTTCTTTGTCTTTCACGGTCGCCTGGTCTTCTCCAGACACGGACACGTCGGTTATCTGGATGAGTGCTGATTCGGGATTCGTCAACGAAGAGACAGTTTTGCCAAATGTTTTCGTCCTCACCTTCTTCATTTTGCCGAAGTCTATCACACTGCAATCTTCGTTGTTGACGTTGCCGGGAATTGAGCGGAGCTCGCCAAGACCTCCGTGCTCGTAATCCAGCCTGGTGCAAGCAATTGCGAACGGTCTGCGTGCTAACTTCAAGCCCAGAGGCGGCCCTGACTTCTGCTTTTATTTTAGTGGCGTTGATTGTTGGATCACGGGCTGCCAGCAATCTAATATAGCGCTTTTGGGCAGCTGTCAAAACAGTTGGGCGACCGCTGCGGGGTCGGTCAGCTAAATTCCCCATTCCGTGATACCTCTGCAACGTAGCCACGACACAGGATTGGGATATAGCAAGTCTGCGTGCTATTACTCTCGTGGTGTATCCTTCTTCCCTCAAAGTTACTATTCTAGCTCGTGAAACCTCTGATAATCCTCTTGGCATTTTTCAATCACAACTTTCCGCGAAAAATATCTTGAATCGCTTGTAATTGACTAAATCAGATTTCTGAATGAGCGTAAGCTAGGACTGAAAGCCTTTTTATATGAAAAAACAATTGAACGGGGTCATTGTTTTATGTTCTAATTTATTTTTAAATAAAGAATCTAAAAAGAAGAAAAAATCATAATATAATCTACAGTAACAAAAAAGATTTCAGTTTTTCGATGTGATCGCAAACTTTTTTTGATGTGTGTATAATACATACTATTATTATTCTAAATTTTCATATTTATAAGTACTACTACTACTACTTTATCATTGCTGTTCGTATAAACGTGAATAAAAATTAAAATAATATTAATCGCTTACATAAAGGACAATCTGGCTACCCAGGACAACCAGGACAGCAAGGCCAGCCAGGATCCCCGGGGCCACCTGGTACACCAGGACAACCCGGTCAACCCGGACAACCTGGATCGCCAGGACAACCAGGTATGCTTTGTTTCATTATATTAAAGACTTAAAATTAATTACAAGGTTATTTTATAAATTATTATTAACATAATGTTAATAAAAAAACAATAAAAAAATATTATTAACAAATGATGAATAATAAAATATTTTATCTATTACATAAAGGACAACCAGGTGGGCCAAATCAACCAGGGCAACCAGGACAGACAGGTAAACCTGGTCAACCAGGACAACCAGGACATCCAGGACAACCCGGTCAACCAGGTCAGCCAGGAAAACCTGGTCAACCAGGACAATCAGGACAGCCTGGTCAACCAGGACAGCCAGGATACCCAGGACAGCCTGGTCAACCCGGAAAGCCTGGGTACCCAGGTCAACCTGGGCAACCAGGGCAACCAGGACTACCAGGTCAACAGGGGCAACCAGGACAGCCAGTTCAGCCAGGAAAACCTGGTCAACCAGGGCAACCAGGATATCCAGGACAACCCGGTCATCCAGTTCAGCCAGGACAGCCAGGAATTCCTGGTCAACCAGGACAATCGGGATACCCAGGACAACCCGGTCATCCAGGACAACCTGGTCAATCAGGACAACCAGGATATCCAGGACAACCTGGTCAACCAGGACAACCCGGTCTGTCAGGACAACCAGGGTATCCAGGACAACCTGGCCAAACAGGACAACCCGGTCAACAAGGGCAACCGGGTCAGCCAGGGCGCCCAGGACAATCAGGATACCCAGGGCAACCTGGACATCCCGGTCAACCAGGCCAACCCGGTCAACCAGGGCAACCAGGTCAACAAGGGCAACCAGGACAGCCAGGGTACCCAGGTCAACCAGGGCAACCAGGACAACCAGGTCAACCTGGACGTCCTGGACAACCTGGACAACCTGGTCAACCAGGACAAATCGGGCAACCAGGACAACCAGGTCAAACAGAACATCCAGCTCAGCAAGGGCAAACAGGACAGCCTGGGAAGCCTAGTCAACCAGGACTGCCAGGACAGCCAGGATACCCAGGACAACCAAGCCGACCAGGTCAACCAGGGCAACCGGGATACCCTGGTCAAGTAGGACAACCTGGACAGTCAGGACAGCCTGGTCAACCAGGACAGCCAGGACATCCAGGACTACCTGGCCAACCGGGACAACACGGTCAACCAGGGCAACCAGGACAACCAGGTCAACAAGGCCAACCTGGACAGCCAGGACAGCCTGGTCAACCTGGCCAGCCAGGACAGCCAGGATACCCAGGGCAACCTGGTCAACCGGGACAACCCGGTCAATCAGGGCAACCGGGACTACCAGGTCAACAAGGCCAACCTGGACAGCCAGGACAGCCTGGTCAACCAGGCCAGCCAGGACAGCCAGGATACCCAGGACAACCTAGCCAACCAGGACAATCCGGTCAAACAGGACAACCAGGATACCCAGGACCATCTGGTCAACCAGGACAACCAGGTCAACAAGGACCAGGACAAGTGCAAGGACCAGGCCAGCCGGGACAGCCAGGATTCCCAGGACAACCTGGCCACCCGGGACAACCCGGTCAACCAGGGCAACCCGGTCTACCAGGCCAACCAGGGCAACCAGGACAACCTGGACTCCCTGGACAACCTGGTCAGCAAGGGCAAACAGGGCAGCCTGGGAAGCCTGGTCAGCCAGGACCGCCTGGGCAGCCAGGATACCCAGGACAACCCGGTCAAACAGGACAACCAGTATACCCAGGGCCATCCGGTCAACCAGGACAACCAAGCCGACCTGGTCAACCAGGGCTACCGGGACAACCAGGTCAACAAGGACAACCTGGACAGTCCGGACAGCCTACTCAACCAGGACAATCAGGACAGCCAGTATACCCAGGACAATCCGGTCAAACAGGACCACCAGGATACCCAGGGCCATCTGGTCAACCAGGACTACCAAGCCGACCAGGACAACCAGGGCAACCGGGACAACCAGGTCAACAAGGACAACCTGGACAGTCAGGACAGCCGGGACACCCAGGACAACCAGGACAAACAGGTCAACATGGACTCCCTGGACAACCTGGTCAACCAGGACAAACCGGGCAACCAGGGCAACCAGGGCAACCAGGACAACTTGGTCAACCAGGACAGACTGGTCAGCCTGGACAACCAGGATACCCTGTACAACAGGGCCAACCCGGTCAACAGGGACAACCAGGACAACCAGGATACCCAGGACGACCTGGTCAACCAGGACAACCCGATCAACCAGGGTACCCTGGACAACCAGGACAACCAGGATACCCGGGACAGCCTGGTCAACCAGGAACACCAGGACAACCCGGTTACCCAGGCCAGTCAGGTCAGCCAGGCAGCCCAGGACAACCCGGATACCCAGAGCATCCAGGACAAGCAGGTCAACCAGGACAACCCGGTCAGCAAGGGCAACCAGGACTACCAGGACAACCAGGACAGCCAGGATACCCTGGACAACCTGGTCAACCAAGTCAAACCGGTCAACAAGGGCAACCAGGCCAGTCAGGATACCCAGGTCAACCAGGGCAATTGGGACAACCTGGTGAGTTTATTAGATAAGATGTACTAACTCAAAGATTAGTTTAATAGCTTTAAAAATATGAATTAGAAAAACATCGCAATTCATTTTTACATGAAAATTATGCATAAACTTACAAGCGACTTTACTACGTCGGTACACCTTTGCCAAAAATCCTACACATAACGTGGATAAGAACTTAAAAGCTTGATTTCATTTAATAGCTACAGAGACAATAAGACATATAAACAGACGTATTATTTTTTTCCTTTCGTAGGACAACCGGGTCAGCCAGTCACACCGGGCCAACCTGGACAATATCCTGAAGGTAAGATAAATTTTATTTCAAACCTAATTACTATTATACTACCCGATAAATAGTTGTACGTAAACATCTCACTAAACGCCGACTCATAACAATAATAGCCTAATTACGTAAGTAATACTTAATAAATTATACATTCAGTTTGTGATCCAGAAATAAATACAAACCCATACTTCTTCACAGGTCAGCAGCCATCTGGAACAGGCGTACAGCCTCCACCCAACCCTCCGGGTAGTCAAATGCCACCGTTCCCTATCTACGTCATACCATACCCGCTGCCTATCGTGCCTAGTCCCGGAATGTGTCCTTGCTACCTCTTGAACCCCGGTAGCAATGGTACAACAGAAACCCAAGGCCAAGGTCAACAGCCGTCTAATAATGTCGGTAACTACGCTCCATACGGTATTATAGGATATGTGCCGGTAGTCTTCGTGCCATATTGCCCTGGTAACAATAATAACATGCAAACTGCCCAGCAAAACTTCCCTGGCGCTGTTCCAGTACCTTATAATTGTGCCCAATGCCAAGCCAATAGGGATGTTTACCGCTATTACGGCAGACTTGGTGGAGCACGTAGCTCCAACTTCGGAGACCTAAAAGAAATTAAATCTTTAGACGAATTGGATCACCTGTTAAAAAAACAAATTAAGCCTATGACGAAAAGTCTTGGTCAAATCTCAGTTCATCCAAGAGTACTTGATGACGAGAAAGATGACGGTAAATCTTTAAATATATAAGAAAATTTTGCTCGTATGGCGAGATATATAATTATAATAACGAAGGAGGGTAGTAAGTGATACTCTCTCTTAAGTAAATTTTGAGATTGCCCGATAAACGATTTCTTGGACGGTCTCAAAATATTGTCTCAATGGACAAAAGTATGTTTTAAGCATATTTATTTTCAAACTGTATTTTTTGTTTATGGAAAAAGCGTTAACTCGTTATATTATGCAAGACGTATGTAATATTTACAGATTAAATTTCAAATGTTTTAATTTTATAAGTTAAAGAGTTACAGTTCGCGCTGCCATTTTGAAATGAAATAAATTATCAATATTTTTTTTTGTTTTATTCAGCACCCACATTTACTATTATAACAATAATATTGAGTAATAATAATATGTATATAAACACTTATGTGTACTCGTATCATATTATAATATGTGTAGTAGTGGGTAGCTGTAATTTGGTGCAGACATTATTATAACATGTAAATTAAATTCAAGTTTCTAACGCAATAAACCATGAGACAATAGTCAGGGTGACCCTGTTGCCTGCCGCTTGTCGCCTGCCGTGGTCCTACAAGAGTCAAGACATCCTAATCGGGGTCTAAATAGACATTAATTCACTGCCTGCTCATGTGACAAGCATTATGATTATATTATTAAACACGTACATACCTATCTATATCTATAATAATACTTATATATATATAATATAATACTAAAGGAGACACTTTTGTGAGTTTTACGTTGAAGCTTTTACTTACATAAGTACTACGTCTTTTCTACAGCTACCCTCAGTCAAATTCATTACACGCCTTGCTATGTATTTGTAATTACAAATAGAGTTTTCATTAGCTTCGGTATTATTTGATTTTCAAATCGGGACTTAATCGTGAATAAAAACATATTTTATTTACTTCTACGTTTGCAACGTCCGTAATCTCGAAGGGACTTAGCCTTCGCTAATCAAGATACTGCTGAGTGAGACGAGACTTCGTAAGGAAGGCAAGCAATGACCGTAGTAATTACGGATGGTGATCATTAGTTAGGCATTTGGGTGTTAACTTTAGTTCCTTATATGTATCTCATTAGTACTCTTCATGGCTAATATATATTCAAAATCATATCAAAAATAATCTTTATTTCATAGGTAAGCATTATTACACTTGAAATCGTCACATTGGTTAGACTCTACCGCTCATTCGTAAGGCAGATTCCCTTGAGAAGAACGAGCAAGAAACTCAAAGGGTTGCTCTTTGTAAATGACATTTGTACACAATCAACATTAACAATATATTTTTTGTTTTGCTTTCAAACATCAGAGATCGAGACTATCTCCATGAGCTAAACGGGTTACTACCACGGATTTTTTTTTTGTCATCCAAGTATGCAGAAGTTGTATAATAACCTTTAGTATAAAGTTTTTGTTCACTATAGTTTTAAACCTCGTGAATGGCAAATTTTGTATATCAACCAGAATCTTGTTATAAAAGCGTATTTCTTGCCCCTTACATGAATTTGTCACTTTGGAAAGACGACTATCAAGAACAGCTAGTTTATTTTTATTTCTCGTATTAATGTTATGTCTGTCACTATTTTTCAAAAATTATTCTATAACTATTCCTCTTATCATAAATTACATTTTCATTGATGTACTGTGACGCTAGTGTAAGAATATTAATTTCCTTAAACTTATCTCTCAAAGGTACTCTGGGGCCCAGATTGTAAATTGCCCTAACCGCATGTTTCTGCAGGACAAAGATTCTATTGATATCGGCGGCATTGCCCCAAAGCAAAATGCCGTATGTCATTAGATTGTGAAAATAGCTGAAGTAAACCAATCTAACGGTTTCGACGTCTGAAAGTTTCCGTATTTTTTTAATCGCGTTCTCTGCAGAGCTGAGCCGTTTTGATAACTTACTTATATGTGGGTGTTTGTATGTAACCGTCTCTCTAACAGTCTCTAATGTTATAGAGACTGAAATTTCACACAATTTGTTTTTTCTCATTAAGAAGCAGGTTATTAACAGCAAACCAATCAACTACTTTAGATATAGTATTGTTCACATCGTCGTAGGAACATTGGTGCCTTTTAACTTTAAAATGAAGTATCATCAGCAAACAATACTATCTCATGTTTTAAACTCTCCATGACGCTAGGTAAGTCATTAATGTTAACTAAACACAAAAGTGGACCTAGTATTGAACCTTGAGAGATACCCATGCTTATTGCAGACCCTGATGATCTCGTACCGTTAACATCGACCCTCTGGACCCTATCACTCAAATACGATTTAAGAAGGTCCCGGTCACGTCCCGCCACACCATAATGGCGAAGTTTCCTGGCCAAAGTATCATGGTGCACACAATCAAAAGCCTTGGAAAGGTCACAGAATACACCAATAACGTCTTGTGAGTCTTGCCATGCATCGAATATATGTTTCATCAACTCAACACCAGCATCGGTTGTAGAGCCAACCCGAGTGAAACCAAATTGTTTAGGAGGCATTAAGTTATTACTATAAAAATGTGTACATATCTGACTTAGAATCATTTTTTCAAAGATTTTACTGAATGTTGGTAGTATTGAAATAGGTCTGAAATTGGTGGGGTCTGACATACTACCAGATTTGAAAAGTGGAATAACTTTACTTTGCTTCATGAGGTCAGGAAACACACCATCATCAACACATTTATTAAAGACAAAGACTAAGTAAGGCGCAATACAATCAACTATAGAACCAATTACTCTGACTGAAAGACCATCAAGGTCAGCAGTATTTTTTATGTCTAGGCTATAGAGTTAAGGCTTTAACAATATCGTTTGGAAATACATGACGGAACTTTAAATTAGAAAATTAACTGCATCATTTTGTTTTTGTAAGGATTCAGCGACAGTGGGGGATGAATTTAACGACTTAGTCAAAATTGGAATGTCAGTAAAAAAAATTTCAAATATTTTAGCAACTTCTGCGTCTGTGTTTACAATTTTGTCATTAAATCTTTGTTTAAAATCTAAGTTACGAGGTTTGACCCTTCCAGTTCTTCAATTTCAATTCTTTATTAAGTACTCGTTAAATTAAAATTCTCAATTAATCATTCTTGTAATTACATTTATTGGTACCAATGTGCATTGGTCGTGATGAGTAACCGAAAGTACCTACTGAATAAATTGGTCGCATTTGAAATTTTTAAAATCTTGTTGTTACAAAATCACATATTAAATAGAAAATATTTTCATACGAACTGACATTTGATATATGCTGATTTAATGAAAATTGCAAAAATCGTCTTATTTTTATTAAAACATTAGAAAACTAAATAAAATTATTAAGAAGTAGTAAACATACCAGAACATGTTGTTCTTACTTACCAATGTAGTAAATACAGTATGATTACCGTGAACGAAATGATCCACCCCAATTAGTATAGAGCGAATGGTAGGTCAATGAAAGCGACGCTAAATAAAAGCGCTAAGTCAGAAACTGAAAAGTTATTTCTTTAAATAAAGAAATAATATATATTAATATACATATTTATATATGTATAATAATAATTTTCTATGATATGAGGGTAATTGAAATTTTAACTTCTAGTTGTTGCTGATATCGAATACATTTAGAAAATGCGTCTAAAACTACAAAAAATATTTCAATTTGAATTTCTAGATTCGATTTGAGGTGATGCGAGCTGCCATGACCAATAAAGTTGTAGAAGCTGATATGCGATGTCTACAGTAGCATTATGACGACCTCGGTGGCCCAACGATATATACTGTGGGCATTGGATGCGGAGGTCACGGATTCGATACCCGGTAGTACCGATTACGGAAATAAACTTTTCTAATTTAATTCTGGTCTGAGTGTTCTAAGTAGTGCCCCAGGTTGAACTCCGTTGCTCTGGTACTCATAACACAGGGGATACCCTAATTAGTGTGGTTGTCTGGCACATATTATTATAGCTATCCTCTATCAAATTTGTTAGGCGACTTGCTATGTAGTGCAATAGCTGAGTGAGATGTATGAAAGGCAAGCAATGACTGTAATACTGATGGTGATCATTAGTTAGGCATTTAGGCGTTAACCTTGTCGCCAGTGCATCGTTATCTCCTTCAATATATCTCCTAGGTAAAGTTAGGAAAGATATTGTAATAATATGGTAATACGCTACATGGCTAATATATACATTCTTTATTAAGTACTCGTTAAATAAAAATTCCGCTACAATTAACCATTCTTGGAGTATCCAAAGAAACTACAAAAGTATGTATCCAAAATTCAATGACTTTCATTGCTTTTAAATGATTCATTACTGAACTGAACTGATTTATTATTATTTTAATTATAATCTCAAATATGAATTTGTATTACAATTTTATCATTTTAATATTAAAATTGTATTTTTTTTATTTATTTAATCTAAATAACACTCACATCAATACTGACACATATGCACACTACATTTCCTTCACATGTTTTTGCTTTTGATGCACCGCAACGCGCTACCCTCGAAAGTGGTGGCTTACCCTGAGCCACGACCTTTTTGGCCTGCTGCAGCACACACATGCTGTCGGTAATTAAATTAGAAGTTTGTTTGTAAGTATTTTTTTTAATTTAATTTCTTGTTGTTTGTGTTTTGATTTATTCTCTTTAATTTTGATTTCTGTGTCTCTCTTTTAATCCATTTACTGTATTATATTGTTGTTTGTATCTATCTATCTAACTTTTACCTATATACAGGCAGGTTACTGATACCAGTAGGTATAAAATGAAATTTAATAGTAAATGCTGATTTGCATGGGAGAAGTTGTAATTTAAGAAATCCATATTTCCCAATGTACTTTTCTGCCGCCACTAGTTGAAAGGGCACATGTGACACTTTTTCAAAAAACTAGTTAAATATACTGCCGTGATCAGCAAAAAAAACGAATCTGCCACTTATTTTTTTCCCTGGCAGATTAGGTATTAAGTTACCGTAAGAGAAAAGGGCGTAAGTACCCACCCTTTTATGGTCAAAATAAGTTAAATGGACGCATTTACAAAACAAATTGCTACAAAAGAAGTAATTGCACATATACGTCATTTCCTTTTAACTACACATTTCAATCACTTGAGTAAATGAAAAGACGCAAGTGACATTTAACTTCCTAAATCTTCCTCAGTTAAAGGTCTACATACCTTTATATGTATAGTATGTTAATTTCCCAAGATGCTCACATAAATTGAAAATAAAGTGGAAATGTTACCTGTCATTTAAGTAATAAAAATCTTGAAAATATCAAACTACGACATTTCACGAACATTTTTTACTAAGTTGAAAAT